AATAAATTAAATTTATTCTTAACAAAGATTACCTCATATTTATTCTTTTTTTTTTATTATTAAGTTAAATTGCTTACAAACGAAAAAAAAAAAGAGTTTTGTAATTATACGTAGAATGAAAATACTTTTGAGTTTGTTTATAAGTTAAGGAACTTAATTTTTAATAAACAAATTTTTACGAAAGTTTATAATAAACAGATACGATTCAAATTATTAAATATACTTAAATTATTTCAGTTGAGTATTTTTTTTAAGTTTGCGCGATTAAAGTTTGGCGTAATAGTATTTGTTTTTTTGTTTTGAAAATAATTAACAAAAGAGTTTGCATAATTAAGTCTTTTATATTTAATTTAATTTTTTTTTTTAATTTCCTAAAATTAAAAAAAAAAAAGATTTAATCGTTGAAAACGATTTTTCTCTATAGCTCTGTTTCTTTGTGATTTGTTTAAAAAGTTAAATATTTTTACAATAACATAAAAAGTTTATGAATTAAATTCCTAGCGAACGCGTTCTAAACTGTATCAAAAATATGCTCAAAGCAGACTAAACTTTTTTATATTTTTATAAAACGCAAGTTGAAACGCTTTTAAAAATTTTAAAAATATTTAAAAACTTAAATTTTTCTTTGCTAGTCGAAACAAAATCGTTGTTTAAATAATTAACATGGGTTTGTGTTTATCAATGTTAATATTTTTTGTTTACTCTAGAAATTTTTAAAAATAAAAAAAATCATTATTATTTTTTATTCAATTATGATTAAAAACAATTATTCAAAAAACAAATTTCAGAAATAATTAATATATATATATATATATATATATATATATATATATATATATATATATATATATATATATATATATATATATATATATATATATATTTTACTAAATAATATTGAACTAAAATTAATAATAAAATAACAATTGAAAACATTACAAAATTTTCATAATAAATTTATATTTAAAACGTTTATAGTTTATATTTGAGTTAATTGTTAAATTGAACTAGTTTGCGGTTATTTATTTATTGCGGTAGTTAAAACACTTAACGTCTATAAAAAAAAATAAAGATAATTTTATGACGTCAAAATCGCGTTAAGCTAATGCATTAAGCACTTTTTTATTTAAAACAAGGCCTGTATATATATATATATATATATATATATATATATATATATATATATATATATATATATATATATATATATATATATATATATATATATATATATATACAGGGTGTTAACCAGCCTGATAGCACCGCGTAAAACGCGGTATTCCCAATTGGTTTCAAATTCCCAAAAGTTCATAAGATCATAGTAAAAAAAAAAAAAAAAAAATTAAATTAGTCTTAGATTTTAGATGTCGCGCTAGACAAGTAAAAAACGCAATTAGAAGCATGAAAAAAAATGAATTAAATTGATTGATTTTTTTAATGTGTAAAAACGTGTTGTCATTAACTAAAGATCAAAATTCGTTCAAAAGTTTAAAAAAACTTTTTATTTTAACTTTTATTGACGTCAGTTAATCTTGAGTTAAGATTTTTTAAAGTTTAATAAATTATTTTATTAACTTATTTTTGTTATTCAAAAACTCTTTAATTATGCTTTTGTTTAATTATGTTTATCTTAAGTTAGTAAAGTTACAAAGAAATTTGCATAATAATAAATATTATACTTTAAAATAAGTTGATAACGTTTTTGTAATAAAAGATTTACTAATACTCTCAGTAAAATAAATAAGCAGGTAAAGTAAATTGAAAATAACAACAAAAATAATCAAAAATAAAACTTGCAATGAAATGTATTATCTATGTTATATTTACGTAAAATGTAAAAAAAGATAATTAAATAGTATTATAATATTACTAATTATTAACCAATATTTATAAATACAAAATTCTTTTTTCAATTTACAAATACAAACTTTATGTAGATATTTAATGAATGTAATGTAAATTGAAAAAATAATAATATTAATAATAATTTTGTATTTAAATATATTTTTTTTAATTTAAATACCTAATTTACTAGATATTTAAAATAGACCAATTAAATTTAGTTGCTTCCTCATGCGGTGAAAGAATCTCGCTTTGCCCCCTATATGTCTTTGTTACTTATTTAAATTAAAGCAGCATATTGCAACAAAAGTTCTTTAACAAACATTATATTTGATGGAAATCAGCGATCTAAACAAGTTTTTCAATTAAATGCTATTAAGATTTCGAAAACTTTTATTCAATTTTCATTTAAAAGCTATTAATTTAAATAAGTTTTCTAACTGTTAAATTTATCTAATAATAAAAATTTGACATTTGTAAAAAAGTTTTTTAATTATTTTAAAATACTAAAGTATTTAAATAGTTATATAGTCAAATATATTTCTTCAGAACTAATCGTTTAAACCTTTAAAACTGTATTAAAAAAGCGATGAACGCAATTAATCTAGATCAAAGTTTCAATGAAATTTAACAATACATTTATTAAAACAGCAAACAATTGTCTTTAGTTCTTGTTTTCTCTCTTCTTTACTGCAGTCGTTTACCAAATACGCTAGTTTAGATGTCTACAAACGTTTTTGAATACATATTTTTAAAGAGTTATAAAAAAATTCATAAAAATTATTATTTTTTAAAAGTGTTTTATAAAGAGTTTTTCTAAATAACTTTTTTTTAATTACGTTTTTCTCGAAATACCTAATAAGCCTATTAAGGCGTTTGGAAAAACAGCTACAGTATATCAAACAAAGAGGAGAAACGATTTAAAAATGAAAACTTTAGAAGATTGCCCATAATGAAACAAGCTA